GTGAGGGTAATAAATTTTTAGACGAGTGCCAAACGTTCACTTACTGGAACCCATAAATTATATTGTGGCGATTTTGCATGATTCAGAATGTAAAAGAGTCTTGATTGATGTCGATTTAATATATTGAACGACACTGAAAGGAATACTCTTTGTATAAGATTCCTTTGTTGTTTGCTTGGGAAATAAATTTTTCCTTCAACTCTAGTTTATTAATTTAAAAAAATTTATTTCAACCTTTAGCGAATTTACGACACCAACCCAATGGGAAATGCCAGTGTAGTGCCGATGTTCACCACTGGCTTAGTACTCAGACGATTGTTCGGCGTAGTCTAGCCGAGCCTCGACAATTAGTGCTGGCGCAGTACAGAATTTTTGTTTCGCCAAAGCTTGGACAAGCCACGGCGGCAAGTGCTGGCTGAGTATAGAAAAATTGTTCACAACGCTCTTTGCCAACATTGCTTTTTTGACATAAACTTGAAAAAAATTATAAAAAAAGTTTATAAATGTTTATAAATATAAATTTATTGAACAAATTAATATTTTACTTTTCAGTTGTTCATTTTTTATTCTTATTAAATTTAATAATAACAATTTAACACAATTGTCTAATTTTGTAAATAATAAATTATTTAAACAAACTAAAATTATAAACAAAATTTTAACTTTAATCTCAATAATAATTTGGTTCCTATTAAAATACTATTATACTTCTTACTATGAATAAAAAATTATTAAAAAATTACCACGTAATTTAAGAATTACGTAAAATGTTAAATGCAATAAGTAAAGTAATTTAATTTAATTATTAAAAATTTAGTTTAATTTATTTTATTTCAATTTATTATTTCTAACGTATCCCTATTTTTTTCTCATCTTTGACTCAATAATTGTATGTCTGAATGATACTGGGATATTAATACTTTACTGTACACGTGTGTCGTTAGCATAGTGGTTAGAGCGTTAGTCTGTTAGTCCGTAGGTCGTAGGTTCGATTCCCCTAGTCAGCAATTTTGTTTATTTTCATAGGTTTGCGATATTTCTAGATTCCAATCGTTAGGTACTAAAATATGAAAATCTAATGCACACTTACTGTAATTGTTTATTATTTAATTTTTAAATGTTATAAACAATTTTTTTCTACTTCATTTACTATATCCATTGTTAGTCTCCATCTTTAATAAAATTTCTTTAAGAAGAGAAATATTTGATGAATAATAACTATTTATTAATATTATTTACCATTTTGTTGTTAAATTATTTATAATTATGAATTTACGACTAATTAATAACAATACGGCATTTATTGCAGCAATATTCTCAGCCAGCACTGGTCCAGTGCTGCGCCAGCGCTGTCTGGCAGCACTGACAGACAGTACTTCGGCAGCGCCAGACGGCGTTATCATCCCAGTGCCATGCCAGTGCTGGCTCTCAGCCTTGCCGCCAGTGCTGCCAGTGCTGGCGCAGTACTACGCCAGTTGTAAATTTCCCATTGGGAATTACGTCGTGGTTCACATCTTTTGGTACGACAATTGCATCTCAAACCGTCGCAACATTTTCCCTGTCTGCACTGTAAATTTTAAAAATCAAATCAATTAAACTTGAAACATTTGAAGTCATGTAGAAACTAAACGTTAAAAATTAAGCACATTTGAAGTAACTTAGAAACATTTGAAGTCATTTATTTTTGATACTATTCTCAAGTTTCAATCTTCGGAAATTGAATTCACAAAACCCATAAATTCATTATTCATTTTGTACGATGGAAATAATTAACAAACCATTCGTCCAATTCCTCGACATTGTTCCGAAGATCGTTTTCTGACACATCTTTTCGACCTCTTTGAGCACATCAATCCACGACAACATCTCACATCCCGATTACACTATAATATACACAATAAATAATAATAAAATATTAATACAATAAAAATACAATTTAATAATACGATAATACAATAAAAAATTTTTTTTATTGTACACGAATTTTTAATTTCCTGAAAAATTGAAACTTACTCTATTCCCCCTTCTGCTACATTTACCACCGAGTTCATCTAATATCAAATCAATCTCAGTTTCCTCTGATTCAACAAACATTCTTAATTCCTCAATGGACTCTTCTGATGGTTCTTCTTTAAGTTCGGCGTAAGTGACGACAACCAGAACACTTACGCACAAAAATAAGAATGTCCAAAGCTTCATGTTTGTTTTGCTACTTCGGATAGAGGATGGAAATTAAAATACCAAGAAGTCTAAGCAGGGTGTCTATAACTAATCTAAAAAAAATTTCCCTGACATTTCCAGGTTTTCCAGGCCTTCTAAAATTTTTTTCCAGGTTTTAAGAATCGACATAATAAAAAATAAATTGCTTAAATTTTATTTGATAATACTTATAAATGACGTCGAAGAAGTATTTACAACGTTTGTCATCAACGATTTGAAGAAAAAAAAATGTTTTTCACTCAGAAAACAATATTTTACGTTTAAAAAATTTTCCTTTTTTAACTTTTTGTTCAAGAAACATTGTAAAAGTTTTACAAAAGTTTGAATAGAAAATTATTTTTTCTTCTAAATCATTGTAAACGTCACCAACGTTAGAAATTATGAATATAAAATGAACATTTTAAAAAAAATTATCAGGGCTCGAACCAGTGACACAGTATTTAAAAATACGTACTTTACGGACCAAAAATGAAAAATTACGGACCATTTACGAACAAAAATATATAAGCAGTCCGAGTCAAATAAGAGAAAATTTTACTTAAAATTATAAAATAAATTTTTCATAACTATAAAACATAAAGATATCGATAACTCCGAGTCTTTGACTCGGAGTAATCGATTTCTTCATGTTTTATAATAATTAATAATCGAGTGAGAAAATCAATTCAATTATTATTTTCAAGAATTTTTAACTAAATTTCATCTTTAAATCAATTTTACGAAATTTCAATTATTCGTAAATTCTTTAATTAAATATATATTCGAAAATAAAAACTTCAATTAAAAAAATTCAATTAACATATTTCAAAAAAATTAATTTCAAAATTCAATTATTTATAAAAAATTCACGCTATACGGCTTTTAATATTCAATTATTATCCAAAATTTTAACTGAAATTAATTTTTGAATCAATTTTTATTAGAATTCAATTATTTAAATACAAAAATAATTTATTGAATTATTGAATGTTTCTTAACATTTAATTCTCATAAAGAATTTTACCAACAAATTTTTCAATTGATGACGAATTTTAATAAAATTTTTAAGAATAATTACATTTTTCGAAGAATTCGATTAAAATTTGATTAGAAATAATTGAAATTCTTTGATGATTTTTATTATTTATGAAAATAATTGAATAGTTGTTAACAATTTTATAAAAAATTTTCAAAAATAATTGAAGTCCTGAGATAATTGTATTATTCCCGAAAAAAATGGAATTCTTACTCAGATTTTTACAAAAAATTTTTAAATAATTAAATTCTGTTTGGAAATTTTGTGAAAATAGTAAATATTGAAAATCATTGAATTGCGAAAAGTTTTTAAAAATAATTCAATTTTACAAAGAATTCTATTATAATTCTTATTATTTATGAAAATAATTGAATTCTTTCGAACGTTTTAATAAGAATTTTTTTAAATAATTGAATTTCCAAGAAAAAATGCATATTACTTTTAAAAATAATTGAATTCATGTAATGAATATTGTTATTTATGAAAATAATTGAATTTTGCAAAGAATTTTATTAAAATGTAAAAGAATAAATGAATTATTTCAAAAAAAATGTAATTAAAATTGTATTTAAAATAATTGATTTATTTCGAACAATTTTATTAAAATATTTGAAAATAATTGAATTCCTCTGAAAAATTCTTATATTTTTATAAATAATTGAATTCTTGCAAAGAAATTAAATTTTTAAGAATAATTACATTTTTTTTTAGCAATTTCTGCGTAAAATTGTATTAAAAATAATTAAATTATTAAAATTTCCAAAAATATTTGAATTCCTGAGAAATTTATATGATTTATTTAAAATAATTGCATTGTTGGGAAAATTTTTATTAAAATGTTTAAAAAGAATTAAATTTGTGTAAAAAATTTTATTATTTTAGAAAATAATTGAATTCTTCATACGAATTTTATAAAAATTGTTTTAAATTATTAATTTTTTTAAAATATAATAAATATTGTGGAATTTTTTTTTTAATTAATTAGATTCTTCTGGAAAAGTTTATTTTTGAAAACTTTACTATTAATTTTTTACTAAAAATTTGTAAAACTAATTGTGGGCTTTAAAAATATTGTTCAAGAGTATTTCAAGTCACAATGAAAAAAATTCCCTGACTTTCGAAAAAATTCCCTGAAATTTCCAGGTTTTCCAGGACATTTTTAATTTCCCTGACATTTCCCGGTTTTTCAGGTTTTCCAGGTGTTGTAGATACCCTGCGAAGTATCTTGCTTTTTTTCCTTACCAGTGTTGCCTCCCAAGTGAACCAAACAGTTTTGTTTTTAAATTCACCAGAAAGGCAAATTTATATACTTTTCAAAATCCGCCTCGATTTTTGAAGATTGTATCGTTGGATTATTCCTCTTAGTCTTATCGTGTCATTATTCATTTGGCTGATCAGTTTTTTGAGAGTTATTAATGATAACAAATTGGAGAGGCAATATTTAAATTTTAAAATGCTATTGATGAGTCTATCATGGGGGGATTTGCTAACTAACAAAATCTTTTATTAAGAAATTTTAAAATTAATTTAATTTATCAAGGAATCAAAGATAACTCTTACTAAGCTCGAACTAGGTCCATAAATTCCGTAAAGGTCCATAAATTTGCTTCAAGTCCGTAAAAATCAATTTTTTCGAAAAATGGTCCGTAAAGTCCGTAATTTGATAGGAAAAAGGACTAATCTAGTGAAATTTGTAGCTTTGAAATTTGTTTCATGTATAGGTCAATAATTGTTGTCTGATATTTTGAATTGCTTTTATTTTTAGCCGCCGAAGTCAATGAAGCGCTTCAACATGCGATTAAGGTCTCGCGAGAGGGTAGCTGCCAATGGCCTCGTGCCAGAATTGTACCAGTTCGAGACGTCTACCCCAGTACATCGACCACGTACATTCCACACTGTGCAATTCTGCACAGGTGCTCTGACGACACCGGATGCTGTAGGTCGGAAGCACTAACTTGTGTACCAAAACAGTCCCATCGAGTTGAACTCTACTTCTATGTAAGTCGAATTAATTTTTCTTCATATTTTCCCCTTTTTGAGAAATAACAATTGAGAGAATAAGATTTCATTTTCCTCTTTTGAGAAAGAACAATTAAGACAAGAAAAACGAATATACAAAAAAAAAAAATTATCAGGGTGTTCAAAATTGACATTTGTCCTTAACAAAAAGTTATCACGTGTCTTTTTTGTATAATAGAATTAAATAATTATTTTTGAAATATTTGAATTTTTTGAGAAATTTTATAAAAATACCAGGATATTGAAAATAATTGAATTTCGAATATTTTTTTGTTTATATCTAGAAAAGTACCCAAATAGTAGCATAACGTAAATAAAGTAGTAAATAGTAGGTTTTAATGAGTGCAAAGCCAGCAGTAAGAAAATGAACTTCTAGTCATAAAATATCGCCATTAAAAAAATTAAATATCATATAAAATCTATAACTCGTTATCCTTGCCATTATAATTTCTCACGCAGATTTTAATAAAAAAAAAAAAATTACAGCATGATGAAAACTGTTATTACTTTTATAAATATAATGAAAATATAATTTCAATTCTTAAGTTTCAATGAAATTCTCCATTCACGATCGTCTCACTTTTATTGTATCTTGTATGTATTTACAATACTTGGAATTAACGTTCAACAAACGACCCTCGCTTCATTGCCTGGAAGCTTTCACTTGACGTGTATACTATATGTGCTTATGTAAAGCCAAAAGGAAGAAAAAAAAATTTTCTTGAAAAAGATGCCTCCAGAATTCTGCACTTGTTCTCGTGTTATAACTGGACACCAGACACGTGTCTCTCCTGGTGGTCCCAACTGAATGGGACCGTATATTCTCTTCGCATGTTGTGAGTACTTTCGAGAATGTTTACCATAGTACTCACGCAATTGCAAACAGCTTTGGAAAATTATTGGTTCTTATTTTCAAAACATTATATTAACTCCCCCTTGTCGTCATATATATATATATATATATATCGTGAAAAGATGTTTCATGAATTTTTACGATTTTTACACAATAGTTCTTTTTTTGTTTTCTTCTTTTTTCTTCATATATATAACCAGATAGCACACGTAATATTGCAGAAAGTTTGCAGAAAATTAGCTAAGCAAGTTTTTTTATAAAAAAATATTTAAAAACCTGAAAATTTATATTTTTTAACTGTGTTAAACTAACTGTGTTAGTTTGCTAGATTTTGGATATAAAATATAAAAATTTTGAACTTAACTGAATAGTTTTCATGTAAAACTAAAAAATCAAATGTAAAAAAATGATTCAATTTTAAAAGGCCTTTTTTTACAGTTAATCGTGAGGTATTAAAAAGTTTTGCAGATTAAATTAACACCAAGAAAGATTAAAGTAATCAATTTTGGTGTTATTTTTTACAATGAATAAAATTTTAGTATTTTAAATTTTTTATAACTATAAAACATGAAGATATCGATAGCTCCGAGTCTTTGACTCGGAGTCATCGATTTCTTCATATTTTATAATAATTAAAGATGACCAAGTAATAAAATTATTATTTTATATTATAAGAATATTATACTTCTTCAAAATTATTATTAATTATTTATTAATTTTTATTATTATTTTTTTTTTATTTTATTATTTTTTTTATTAATTTTTTTCTATTTATTTATTAATTATTTATTAATTATTTATTATTTTAATTCAATTATTATTTTCATAAATTATTAACAACAATTTTACTTTATACCTACTATTTTTAATAATTTTCGAAAAAGTTCTTTGGTAATTTTCAAATCCATTTATTTACAATATTATATTTCACGAAATTCCAATTATTCCTAAATTCTTTATTATTATTAGAAAATAAAAAACTTCAAATAATATAAATAAAATTCACATAAACTTTTTCAAAAAAATTAAATTCAAAATTCAATTATTTCTAAAAATTTACGCTATATTGCTTTTAATATTCAATTATATTCTAAAATTTTAACTGAAGTTCATTTTTATGAAATGAAAATCAATTTTTATTAGAGAATTCTACAAGAATTTAATTATTTTAATGCAAAAGTAAATAATTTATTGAATAATTGAATGTCTCTCAAAATTCAATTCTCATAAAGAATTTTATTAAAAATTTTTTAAATAATTGAATTCTTTTGTCGAATTTTATTAAAACTTGCATGAACGTAATTACTTTTTTCAAGAAATTCAATTATAATTGTAAGAAAAATAATTGAAACACAGCGATTTTTATTAGTAAAAATAATAGAATCCTTAAGAAGAATTTTATTCCTCTTGAAAATAATTGAAAAATAAATAATTGAATTTCTGCACAATAATTTGTAACTTCTCTAAAATAAAATTTTTTTCTAGTGTTTTTAACTAAAATTCTTCAATAAATCCATTATTTTTAATAATTTTTAAAAAAAATTTCATTGATTTTAATTTGAAACTTTTTCAAAATTTAATTATTTCTAAAAATCCACGTTATAATGCTTTTGATATTTAATTATAATCTAAAATTTTAACTGAAATTCATTTTTAAAACCATTTTTATTAGTAAATTCTACGAGAATTCAATTATTTAAATACAAAAAAAAATAATTTATTAATTTCATGTTTCTTGAAATTAAATTCTCATAAAAAATGTTATCAACAAATTTTTTAAATCATTAAATTCTTTGGACGAATTTGAATAAAATTTTTAAGAATAATTACATTTTTCGAGGAATTCGATTAAAATTGCATTAAAAATAATTGAAATTCTGCAATTCGTTATATTATTTATGAAAATAATTGAATTTTTATAAAGAATACAATTAATTACAAAAATAATTGAATCTCTGTAAAAAATTTTTTATTTATATGAAAATAATTGAATTCCTGTGAAATTTTTATTATTTTATGAAAATAATTTGAATGTTTGCGTAGAATTTTATTAAGATTTTTTTTTAAATAATTAAATTCTTTTGGAAAATTTTATTAAAATAGTAGATATTGAAAATCATTATTGAATTCAGGAAAATTTTTTAAAATAATTGAATTTTGGAGAAGAAGTTTATTATTTAATAAAAATAATTGAAATTTTGACGAGAATTTAAAAAATTTTTTTAAATAATTGAATTAATGCGAAGAATTTTATTACTTTGGAAAATAATTGCATTTTTGCAATAATTTGTAACTCCTCCAAAATTAAATTTTTTTTAGTATTTTCAACTAGAATTTTTTTATAAATCCATGCCTTTTGATAAATAATTAAATGTATATTACAAAATTTATGTAATTTCAGAAGAATTCGAGTTATTAAAATTTTTCCAAACTTTAAGTTCTTTAAATTTGCCAATTGAATTTATGCAAAATTGAAACTTTATAAAATTTCAATTCTTTTAATATAGAATTATCATCTAGAATTTTAACTGAAATTCATTTTTAAATCAGTTTTTATTAGTAAATTCTACGAGAATTCAATTATTTAAATACAAAAATGAATAATTATTAATTTCATCTTTCTTGAAATTAAATTCTCATAAAAAATGTTATCAACAATTTTTTTAAATCATGAAATTCTTTGGACGAAATTTAATAAAATTTTTAAGAATATTTATTTTTATTTATTATTATTATTATTATTTTAATAATAATATTTTATTTTATTTTTATTTTTTTTATTTATTATTTTATTTCATTATTTTTTTATTTTATTATTATTTTTTATTTATTTATTTATTTATTTGAACATAAACGGGTTTCAGACGAAACCCGAAATTTTTATTATTTTTATTATTATTATTATTTTTTTTTTATTTTTTAAGAATATTTTTCGAGGAATTCGATTAAAATTGCATTAAAAATAATTGAAATTCTGCAATGAGTTTTCTTATTTATGAAAATAATTGAATTATTGCTAAGAAATTTATAAAAAAAATTTGTAAATAATTGAATTCATGTAAAAATTTTTATTATTTATGAAAATAATTGAATGTTTGCGTAGAATTTTATTCAAAATTTTTTTTTAATAATGGAATTCTTTTGGAAAATTTTATTGAAATAATAGATATTGAATTGAAAATCATTGAATTTTAGAAAACTTTTGAAAATAATTGAAATTTGGACAAGAATTTGATAAAAAATTTGGTAAAATAATTGAATATCAAAGAAGAATTTTATTATTTATAAAGAGAATTGAAATTTTAACGAGAATTTTTTTTAAATTTTTGAATGCAATTGAATTTAGTAACTATGTTACTTAGTTAGTTAGTAAGTTAGTAACTAGTTTACTAACTTACTATTCTCCCTAGAGATGCTAAATAATTCGTTGGATTTTTACAAATCGTTGACTTTGGTGTTTTATTTAAAGTAAAATTTCATTAATAGTTAAAAATAACACCAAAATAGATTATTTTAATCCTTTCTGGTTTTAGTTTAATCCTAGAGTGATTAAACTGTTGCAGATTATTTTAATCCATTCTGGTGTTATTTTAACACTTTACGTTTTACTGTGTTGGGAAAAATTTTATTTTTAATACTTTTAGGATACAACAATTAATTTGTTCTCTAGTTTACAGTGCAGGCAAAAGTGAAAAGAAGCTTAATCAAAGTCATCGTTAATTTCACTCTGTCGATAAATCCTCAACAGCTTGTATTCAGAAGCACATACAGTGCATTTATATAAACCACATTATTTCTTCTTCTTTTTCTCTCAGCCTCGTACTTATGGACACTCGAGTGCAGATGTTTCACGTACTACACTTTTTGATTATAAGTATTGACCACTATCTTATAATTGACAAAATAAAAACAAAGCCTTATTGTAAATTTACTTCAAAAGTAGCACACAAAAAAAAACGAGAAAATTAAATATCGTGGTAATTATTATTACCAATTGTATGTCTCAGTAAATTTAGCAAATTCATTTAAAATTAGAAATACCGTTCGCAAATATATCGCTAAAATTAAAACCAGTTATTAATAGTTAATAAGTCTGCGAGAGGAGAAGCTTAATAATAAATCAATT